GCAAATATATATCTATTTCTAAATAATTGTGATTCCAGGTTTTTACAGTCTTTTTCAGATGTGGACCTGCTGTTTTGCTTGTAGATGGATGCCACTGTCTGTTTCACTCCTCTTTCACTACAACTACACACACCGGCACACTCACAGAGGAGTCGGATCACCCACAATCCCGCAGGCCTCATTAGAACAGATCTGTGTTCTCTCAGCCCTGAAATGAAGAATCCTGCTGAGAGAGAGAGAGAGAGAGAGACGTAAACAGAGAGACAGAGAAAAAAGGAACGTAAGGGAGGAGTGAGAGAGAAAGGAAGATAGAAGGAGCTAAAAGAATAGATGGAAGAATATCTAAAAGAATGGAAGGGAAGAAAAGAAAGCAAAAGTGGAAGAATAAAAGGAGAGGAGAGGACAGTGGGAAAGAAGCAAAGACAGAATGAAAAGGAAGAAGGGAGATTGAGATAAAATAAAAAAAAATGAGAGAGAAATAAGGAACAGAAGAACAGAAGAGGAGAGAGGAAGAGAGAGATAGAAAAACAAAGAGAGATAAAAGAACAGGAAAGAGACATAAAGAGAAAATAGAACAGATAGATGGAAAAAAGAGAGAAGGACAAAGAAAAAAAACAAAGAACAGAGGAAAGAGAAGGTGAGAGAAACAGAATGAGCAAGAGAAAGAAACAAGGGGAGACAAACTGAAAAGAGATAGAGAGAAAGAGAGAGAGACAACCAGGGACAGAGAAAAATGCAAAGAGAGAGGGAGAGAGAAAAAGAGAAAGGAGAGGTAGAGAGTGACTGGGAGAGAAACAGAAGAGAGAGGGAGATAGGGAGGGGAAGAAACAGAGACACAGTGTGATGGTGAGAGACTTATGAACAGAGACAGGGAGGGATAGGAAGAGACGTAGTGAGAGACATACAGAGGGATAGGGAGACATAGAGGGAGACGAACGGAGAGATAAGGAGAGACATAGAGAGACAGGGAGGGACAGGGGGAGACGTAGAGCGAGAGGCACTTAGTGAGACACACAAAGAGGGATGAGACAGACAGTGAGACACAAGGAGGGATGGGAGAGACTTGGTGAGAGAGACATACAGGGAGGGATGGGAGAGACATAGAGAGACATACAGGGAGGGATAGGGAGAGACACAGAGAGACACACAGGGAGGGGTAGGGAGAGACACAGAGAGACGCACGGAGGATAGGGAGAGACATATAGCGAGAAGCACTTAGTGAAACACAAGGAGGGATGAGACAGACATAGTGAGACATGCAAGGAGGGATGGGAGAGACTTGGTGAGAGAGACATACAGGGAGCGATGGGAGAGACAGTGAGACACAAGGGAGGGATGGAGAGAAACGTAGAGAGACATACAAGGAGGGATGAGGAGAGATTTAGTGAGACACAGGAAAGAATAGTGAGAGACTTAGTGAGACACACAGAGAGGGATGGGGAGAGACGTGGAGGGATAGGGAGAGACATAGAGAGACACACAGGGAAGGATATGGAGAGATGTAGAGAGAGACAGAGGGAGGGATAGGGAGAGAGGTAGAGAGAGAGACACACGCATGGAGGGATAGGGAGAGATGTAGAGAGATACACACAGAGAGGGATAGGGAGAGAGGTAGAGAGAGTGAGACACATAGGGAGAGACTTAGTGAGACACACAAGGAGGGATGGGGAGACTTAGTGAGACACAAAGGGAGGAATGGGGAGAGCCGTAGAGAGACACAGGGAGGGATGGGGTAGACTTAGTGAGACACAGGGAGGAATGGGGAGAGCCGTAGAGAGACACAGGGAGGGATAGAGGGGAGACTTAGTGAGACACACAGGGAGGGATGGGGAGAGCTGTAGAGAGACACAGGGAGGGATAGGGGGATACTTAGTGAGACACACAGGGAGGGATGGGGAGAGATGTGGAGGCACATAGGGAGAGACTTATTGAGACACACAAGGAGGCATGGGGAGATTTAGTGAGACACACGGAGGAATGGGGAGAGCCGTAGAGAGACACAGGGAGGGATAGAGGGAGACTTAGTGAGACACACAGGGAGGGATGGGGAGAGATGTAGAGGCACACAGGGAGGGATAGGGAGAGACAGAGAGAGACACACGAAGGGATAGGCAGAGAGGTAGAGAGAGTGAGACAAACAGGGAGGGATAGAGAGAGACATAGAGAGAGAGACAGGGAGGGATAGGAAGAGAGGTAGAGAGAGAGAGACAGGGAGGGATAGGAAGAGAGGTAGAGAGAGAGAGACACAGGGTGGGACAAAGAGAGAGATGGAGCTCAGTATTTAGATGTGTAAGGTTTCTCTGATGGTCTCTGTTGGAGGGAAACAGACAATTTAATGACAGACATCCATCTTACACAAACACACACACACACACACACACACACACACACTCACTCGCTCGGTCTCTCATACACAAACTCATTCATCTCACATATTCATACACACATTCATCACACTGTGCAGCGGAGGATGTTACACACATCCTCACACTCTGACTGAGCGTGTGATATGTTCCTCACAAAGAGACGGAGATATTCAATGTAAATGTATTACGCAATCACCAAAGGAACATAAACACACACACACACATGCATAGCTATGTCCAGCACTGTGCAAAGACAGAGACCACCCTTTCAGAGACCCTTGATTTAATTTCTACCGAAAACAGCCATTAACTACTAGTTATTCATTTTTCAGTATCAGAAAAAAGCAGAAGTTTGCAGCGTTTTTAATTGTGCTGTGTGTAGAGCCTGAAAATGAATAACTAGTACTTAGTGGCTGTTTTGAGTGGAAATAAATGAAGGTTGGTTTCTGGCTTTTGCACAGTGCTGTACATAATTCCACTAGGTCAAATACAGACTTCGTACTTATCAGGCTATGCTGCCTGCCAGAATGTTTTTAAGGGGAATTCTGGCGATTTTTTTCAAATTTTCCACATTAATAAATTGTTACGAGCACCCGGAGGAAACCCCCCGCAGACACGGGGAGAACATGCAAACTCCACACAGAAAGGACCCTGATCGCCCGGCCGGGGAACCGAACCCAGGCTCTTCTTGCTGTGAGGCGAAAGCGCTACCCACCGCGTCACCGTGCCGCCCTGAATACAGATACTTCTGATTAAAACACATAATATGGGCGAATTCTTTAATTATTCAATCATTTTACACTTTTTAAGGTCCTGAAGACGAATTCAAGGATGTGAACAACTTACATTTGAAAACAGGTTCTGCTCGAAAGGCTTCGTTTTCCACTATTTTCGTGATGCTGTTTTTGTTTTTTTTGTTTTTTTTCCTTCGCATCGTTTGTGCCTACAGAACTGTGGGTAACCGAAGGCCTGGAAGGAAACATCAGTTGCGTTGAAATCACGCAGATCGTAGGCTGCATTTCTACGGCCTTCTATGACGTAGCGGCCGAGAAATGCAGCCTAGGCTTTGGAACGCAGCTAGTGTTCGGTGTTCACCGTTAGCTTAGCTCTAATAAACTACTAGAATCCTATAGGGACGCTAGCAGATATTTTTCCTCATGTTTTGACCAAGTTTTGACATTAATGGCCCAAATTGAAGGCCACGGTTCGCCAGTGCACTTAGACATAGTCAGATTTAAGTTTTTGTCGTCGTCGTCTTGTGAGTTTGTTTTCCGTGGACTCGGATGACGGGGATCTGTAATTGAGCGTAAAGATTTCCAAACGGATCTGACGGAGATTGAACCTGTGCGTACTGCGCTGAAGCAGGTCTCTTGGTAATGAACTGACACTTGAGAGGACTCTCATATTACCGCATTGATTCGTCGGTGTGTTTGAGGTGATGTGAGGAATTTGATTTCGGAGACGCTCGTGGCTCAAACTGACAGGAAATCCATGTGATGCGTCCGGCGTGAGAACAAATCAAGGCCTATCATTTCACTTCTGTTTCACAGAATTGCTTGATGTTCAGTCAGAGACGAGCCCCGCCAAGACACACTCACACACACACACACTGTTTGCATTTTTTTGGGGGTGGGGGGGGTGGGTGTAATTCCTTACGTCTATGTAAAGGATAAGGGATAAATTTTAAAAAAATGACAGTACAAAATAATAAGCCACTAATAACTTAAAATAGGTTTTCTTAACATAATTTGAAAATATTAGCTGTCTTTTACATTGACAGGAAAACGTTATGATGAAATGGTACAAAATTACCTGGAATAATGGAATAAAATCTCCGTACATTAACTTACATTGAAAGTTATGCAGTTTTTTTTCCGTGTTTATTAAATACACCTCCTTGTTTCTAAACTCATTGTCCATTTTATCAGCTCCACTTACTGTATAGGTGCACTTTGTAGTTCTACAGTTACAGACTGTAGTCCATCTGTTTCTCTGCATACTTTGTTAGCCCCCTTTTACCCTGTTCTTCAGTGGTCAGGACCCCCATGGACCCTCACAGAGCAGGTACTATTTGGGTGGTGGATCATTCTCAGCACTGCAGTAACACTGACGTGGTGGTGGTGGTGTGTTAGTGTGTGTTGTGCTGGTACGAGTGGATCAGACACAGCAGTGCTGATGGAGTTTTTAAACACTGTGTCCACTCACTGTCCGCTCTATTAGACACTCCTACCTTGTCAGTCCACCTTGTAGATGTAAAGTCAGAGACGATAGCTCATCTGCTGCTGCGCAGTTTGTGTTGGTCATCCTCTAGTCCTTCATCAGTGGTCACAGGACGCTGTTGGCTGGATATTTTTGGTTGGTGGACTATTCTCAGTCCAGCAGTGACACTGAGGTGTTTAAAAACTCCAGCACCACTGCTGTGTCTGATCCACTCAGACCAGCGCAACACACACTAACACACCACCAGCCAGATAGCACCTGCTCTGTGGTGGTCCTCTGAGGGTCCTGACCACTGAAGAACGGGGTAAAAAAAGTATGCAGAGAAACAGATGGACTACAGTCTGTAACTGTAGAACTACATTTGTGACACAGAGTAAAATATTTAAAGAGTGTAACTGTGTTCTGTGTGTTTAGGTACCTGTACGTGCCGCTGGGTGGTTCTCGTCGCGGATTCTTCCAGAAGCTCGTCTCCACGGCGCTGGCATTCAGCTTTGTGTGTTTCTGGCATGGTTGCCATGACTACCTGCAGTGGTGGGCCCTGCTGAACTGGGTTGGGGTTTTAGTGGAAAACGCTGTCGCACTCTTACTGTCCTCTGCTCCTCTTCATCACATCATTGTGAGTAATGCCATCACACACACACACACACTCACACACACACACACACACACTCTCACACACACACACACTCACACTCTCACACACACACACTCTCACACACACACACACACACACTCACACACACACACTCTCACACACACACACACTCTCACACACACACACACACACACACACACTCTCACACACACACACACACACACACACACTCTCACACACCCCTTCGGAAAGTTTCACACACAATCAGCACAGGTGTGTGTGTTCTCTGTGTGTGTGTGTGGTGTGTAATAAATCAGTAATTATCTCAGTGTGAACACCTGACTCAGAGTCAGAGCACCGCAGAAAAATCGCTTAGTCAACATTACTGACACTCCTCACCTCCCTCTCTCTCTCTCTCTTTCTCTCCCCCACTCTCTCTCTCTCACTCTCTCTCCCTCTCTGTCTTTGTAGAATGATGGATGAGTGTAGCGTAGAACTGATCTGTGGATAACTCTGATCAGTGTAAAGTGTACAGCAGGACCTGTATGTGTTTTTGTTGGTGAGAGAGATAGACAAACAGAGAGAGAGAGAGAGAGAGAGAGAGAGAGAGAGATTAGACTGGATTATGATTGACATTCATCATCCATGCTCTCTCTTCACAGGTGCGATTCCTGTCTCCGCGGATGCAGAGGCGTGGCCTGGCGTTCATCTCCGCCTTCTCCACCGCAATGCTCATCCTATCCAATCTGATGTTTCTGGGTGGGATCCACGTCAGCCGGGTCTATTGGAAGAGAGTGTTTGTTCAAGGTCAGACAGCTAAACACACACGCGGCTCTGGCTGATGTAACGCAGTTAATCTTGAGAAAATGGACTGTCAGGTTTTGACTGTGTAGTCAGACCAAACCAAATTTCTAGGGCTGAAACCCAAAACTGAGAAATGTGACATCTTGGTGAAATAAATGTTATAAAACCATTACAGTAAGTGTGCATACAAAGTCCAGTGTCCTTGACAGAAGACACAGTTGGTCACCTGAGGCAGGGGTCAGCAACCCAAATGTTAAGAGCCATTTTGTCCTTTCAACAAAAAGCAAACCACGTTGGGAGCCAGGGCAAAAAAATGTAAATGGAAACACAGACTTACTTTGCTCTGCTTTAAGTTTTAGCTTTTTAGCTTTTCTCGCATCTCCGGCAGGAAACTGTTACTCAAATGTAGAACAGTTTCTTATAAAACGTTTCTCAATGTTTAACTTTTTACGAGGCTGAGGTCAGCTCCTCATTCGCCAGCTTCAATTTCTCGTTCCACCTTAAATGGAAAATGAGGCACCACAATGTAACTGCAATGTAACACTGACACTGTTATAGGCCTGTTTCTTCAGTAAATTTCCAGTATTTTTCCCTTTTGGTCAAAAAACCGAAAGTGCTAATTTTTTGGTGGCTGAAATTTCGTTACGTCCGTACAAACTAAAAAACAAACTATAGACTCAGACAGGTATACTAATTTCTACTAGCACTTCTGTACCCTTTGCCATGTTATGTTAGCACCAGCTAGCAGTGGTGTACATTCAGTTTTCCACGACTTTTGCTCACTGTGCTACTAAGGCTCTGCACAAAGCCCTAGTTTTCATACAAGCCATGGAATGGACATGCAGCATTAGCCTTATGACTGGTTTATGCCAGCTTTATCAAAGATTTAGATTTGTAAAAATGTGTTTTCAAAATTATATATTGTGTGCATACAGGGATGGGCTGGGAACTAAATTCAGCACTGGACTTTTGTCTAAACCAGCCCACTACAAAAACAGTGACCCCTCCTGCCCCAGCACCTAAGCTTGGGTTCATCAGCCAGAGTGTGTTCAAACTCACTGTAAAATTTTAAACTTTGACACTGCAGCCACATTCTCCTATTGCAGCGTTCGGCCATTTCTTTCTAAATCTCTTCGAACACAGAGCGGTTTGGATAAATATCGTCTAATTTTATTTGTACAAAACCATCACCCCAGATGTTCATGAGGTCTCAGCAGTGTGAAATTATGACAAATGTTGGGTTAGATAGACGTAAATGTCGCTTGAATACCGATCTGGCTGTTCCGACTGAGTCGCGCTACCGCATATCGGATACGTATCGGATTTCAGTACCAAATATGAAAGTACAACGTATAAAAAGTGGCCCAAATCTGATCTTTTTCTTCATATATGACACAGATGTGTATCAGTGTGAACAGCAAAAAATCCAAAATTTTCATTTCCGATTTGAGGCGCTTTCATATGTGGTACTGAAATCCGATACGTATCCGATATGCGGTAGCGCGACTCAGTCTGAACAGCCAAATTGGACTTATTGCGGCTTTTGCGTACAGCTCCACATTGGTCATAATTTCGCACTGCTCGGGCCTCATAAACATCTGGGATGATGTCTCTGTACAAAAATTACAAGAGACTCATCCAAACTGCTCAGTGTTTGAAGAGATTTTGAAAGAAATGGCTGAACGCGGCCGCAGCATCAAAGAACAGTTAAAAGTCTGAAAGCAAAGTTTAAAGAAGCCGAGGACACGAACCAAAGAAGTGACCGCGCCCTTTTTATGGTGAGCTCGAACACATTCTGGGTGATGAGCCCAGCTGTCGGTCAATGAAGCTTCATGATGGCTCCTGTGATGCTGGCGAAGATGAACCCGAACCCCTCTGGGAGCAGCTGGTGTTCGTTCATAGTCATCATTGTTTACCTCATGTAGCAGCGTGACGCGTTGTTTTGCGCATGTGGGTCAGTTTAGGAGCTGATCTGTTCAGGCTGATGTCGCATTTTTTGGCGCCATTTTTACCTGCTGTGTGAACGTAGCCAAAGATGCTGTAGCTTAGCTGAGAATTGGAGTGACTGCTAGTTAGCAAGCTAATTAATTAGCCAGTTTGTGATAGAACATTGACATTAAGCTAGACATCTGTAGCCTTACTGTACGAGTAGCCTGAATCAACCAGCTAACTTACCCCTTCTGTACTTTTGGCCCTGCAGTTCCTCACTGTGATTTCCAAACTTACTTGTTGAAGTAACTTTCTGTTCTGCTCCCTTCACCCCCCTCACAAAGCATGTGGGGGTTTTCTCCATCTCCTTCTAGCCGGCCTTCACGGATTAACTTTCCCGGTTGTTATCATTATGGTTTGTTCTGGAGCGGTGGCATTTGCGTGACTGGCCAGTGGCCACACACTGAGAATGCAGTGGGTCACTAACGTGTCTAGATAGTTCGCCCTGTGCAGTCTCAGTTCATTTTATACAGTACTGCAAACAACCATGCATTTCCCTCTTTGTGACTTTTTCAACGGGCCTCACATAGCGGCCCACTGGGAACTGTCCCGGTCTTCCTGATGGCCAGTCCATCCCTGTGTGCGTATAAGACCAACATTAGCTCAGTTAGAAGGTAATCACAGATTTAGGTTTCCTGGGCTTTACTATGAAGTATGAAATCCATCTGAATCTCAGCTTCTTATGCTAACGGACCCTGCTGAGGTGAGTCTCCACAGGTGAGCTTACAGAAGGTCAGGAGCTTTTTTTTCTCTTCCCTGAACTCCAGGACCCCCTTCAGACTGTTGCCATGGCACCATCAACTTCAGTCGCCATGGTCACAGTGGCCATGCTGGCTGGGCTATTTTTTAGCAGTCGTCAATCAAAAATACTCTCAGTCGAGCTTGACACAGGAGTCTAGAGCCCCCCCCAAACTCACCCCAAATTAAAATACTCGATATACTGAAGGGGGCGATAGAGTACAAATCAGAGAGGGATCTACTGTTATTCTAACAGCCTCAACAGCTAAACGTGGACAGTAGAGGAGAGTGAGCTGCTCTTCTCTTGGATTGGAAATACGATAATTAATGATTTTTGCGTGAGACTCAACTGCCCGTCTGCTGTGGCAGTTAAGAAGCACGCTGGCGGTACAAGACCGTTTGGTCAGGCTTGGCTGTTGTTTGAGCGCTCCTTGTTGTAAAGCTCAGAATGCAGCTCGCGCTTGCGTCGCGTTATGAAATGCGTCTTGACACATTTTTGAACGCAACTACGCGAGAAACCCCGTCTGCGTAGCTCGAAGCGTCTGGCGTGAAGTATGTTTCAGGCCTTAAACTCAAATGTATCTTGGCAGTTTCTTAGGTTCAGTCTCAAGATGCAGTTGAGACCGAACCTAAATGTATGTCTTGTTTGTCTATTACTTTTCAAGCTGAAGTTTTCATCATTTATTCATCTGTGTCCATCAGAAATGTTATGACAACCAGCAATAATGGCTAGGTTTATTAACTGAAACTCAAAATGATCATGTAATTCACTGAAAAATGAAATAAAGTAGTAAAATATTCAATCATTATTGTGGCTTTTATGTAGGTTATTATTCAGTACTTTATTTGGGTCTGTACTTTACTGCATATCTCTTCTTTTGGACAAAGATCTTCTACACTTGGAGCGCATGAGATGCACTACTGATGCTCAGCTAGACTTGGTAGATGTTCTCTTTTGGCTGGTCTGAGCGAGGCAGGTTTCCAACACGCCCTGTCTCTTTCCACCACTTCAGTAGACTCACTCTTGGTTTTAGATATTACAGTGTAATTTTGCATCTTTCTCATGGACATTTTGAGTCAGGCCTGTGTTAGTTGGTGGCTTTACAGGAGCAGCATTGCAGTGTGTCCCAATTCAGGGGCTGGACCCTTCGAAGGAATGCGGTCTACGAAGGCGTGTCCTTTCAAGGCTGCTTAGACCCACGAAGGCTGAACTGAAATGAGGCGGTCTGCCCTACGGCGGATTTCCTGTTTGCGTCACAGCAACGCTGTTCCTGCCCTCATCGCTGCCCTCAACGCCGCTTCTGTCAAGTTCTTCTGAAGTTCTTTAGAGCCAGAGACTTTGATTTTATTTATTTATTTTTTCATTTATTAGAGCTGGAGATGCTTCAGATGTTTGTTTTTTTTTAACGTTTGTATCGTTAGCTATTCCACTTTAAAGCCAATACTCTGCTGACGCCGCCGTGTTCTCGAATCTTCGCCGGCATGCAAAAAACCTCGGGTTATGTTGGCTGGCGAAGGATCCACCTGTTGAATCCTTCATTGCCATGGAAAAGGACACATTTCCTGGCCGTATATTAAGAAGCCTTTGAAATGGGGCAACCTAGTCGCACCACTGTGACGTAGTCAGCCTTTAAATGCAGCTTCCGAAGGATGAAGCCCCTGAATTGGGACACATCCTTGAAGATCTCTGGGTTGAACATTACGTGTGCAGGGCTAGAGTGGGACTTATTTTCAGACTGGGAATTACATGATGCAGGCCAGCCCACCCTGAACTCTTAACTGCCTTTTTGTCCTGCTACACACAGCATTGCCTTTGTGGAAAATAACTTTTTTCTATAATCTGTCTTCTTCATTTCTTCCTCTGCTTTGACATAACCAAGGTCACTCGCTAGTGGTAAAGTGAAAACTGGCGAAGGCTTTTATCCTAATTGTGACGCAAGTTAATGTCAGCATTTCTCACTGCCCGCCTGCTCGGATATGTCCTCATCCTCCTTAACAGTCCTTTTTCATTTTTGTCTTCTTGGTGCTGCCTTGGTTTTGGCACTACCATATTCACACCCTTGCTAGGAATTTGGGTCGCACTGTGTTTGGAAAGTCCACTTTAGATGCTTTGTAGATAATAAATTTACTTTCAAGTTACCTTCAGCTGAATATCTACTAAATTGACCGTAATTTTCTTGGACTCTAAGCCTGGCTCTAATACTAACCTTCACCTCGACCCAAAACCTAAACCCAACCCTCACCCTGGTCCTAGCCCTAACCCTGGTCCAAATCCT